GCTGTCGACGCTGGCGCCGCGCAGCGTGAGGCGGGCTTGCCCGTCGCGCGTGTCCACCGGCCCGGTCGGCCTCCTTGGCGTCGACGGCGCGACGCCTCGCTGTCGAGGTGGGCGCCGAGGAAGCGGGCGGCGGCGTAGGCGGCGGCCCCGGCCGCATTGCCCTCGGCGACGGCGGCGTTGCCGTTGGCGATGCCCTTGAGCAGATACGCGTTGAGGAAGATGCTGATGCCCAGCGCCAGAGAGATCCACTTGCTGATCACCGGGTCTCCGACGATGACGGTCCAGCCGCTCATGAAGCTGTCGAGGACGGCGAGCGACGAGCTGCTGCGGCCGATCGAGGCGGAGCGGACCATCTTGGAGGCCGAGGTGGCCGAGCTGATGCCAGAGGCGTTGAGGGCGGCGCTGGCGAGCGCGCTCCTCGAGCTGGATGCCGAGGCTTTGCTGTCGACGAGGACGAGGATGGTGGGCTCAGACACGCGGACCAGCAGGTTGGCGTCGGCCGGCTGGCTGGCGGCGAGCTCCGAGAGCAGCTGCGCCGCCGCCGACTCGGCGGAGAAGATGTTCGACGTCTCCGCCACGGCCTGGTACGGCGAAGGGTCGTGGGTGGCGTGGTGTCGGGTGATGGCAGAGTCGGTGGTGAGCGTCGAGACGAGGTTGAACGAGTGGAGGACGAGGAACGAGGCGACCAGCAGCAGCTTGAGGCGGGCCACGGGGCTCTCCTTTGTGCTGCGCTTCTCGAATGGCACCCGGCCGAGCACCAGCTTGACGATGCGCTTCCACAGCGGCCGCTGCTTGCGGACCGGGCTGACGTCGCGCGAGGACGAGTCCGACGACGGGCTGGCGGGGTCCGTGGCCGCCTCGTCCGAGTCGACGTTGGGCGGCGTGCCAGGGCGGATGCGGCGCATGCCGCGCATGATCTTGATGCGGTGGACCTCGACCATGATGGTGAGGATCGAAACGTAGAAGGCGAAGAGGAAGATGCAGTCAAAGAGCAGGATGAGCGCCGCCAGCTGGCAGAACTCGCGCAGGCCGCTGACGCCCGAGGTGGCTCCGACGGCCATGACGGCGATCTCGATGGCGTAGTCGCGGACGATGGGCACGCCGACGCGGTTGACGGCGGCCACGATGACCTCGTGCGCCGGCACCGGGGTGGGCGCAGACCACCGGATCGACGCCTCCTTCTTGAGGCGCTCGGTCAGGGCGCGGACAAACGACTCCTCGCGCGAGTCGGCGCTGGTGGCGGCAGCGCCGTTGGCCTTCTTGCCACCGTCGATCTCGGGCTGAGCACGGTCGAGGCCATTGAGGAAAAAGTCGGCCTGTTCGCGAGCCGAGGTGTTGGACTCGCCGGGCGCGATGGCCGGGTGCGTGAAGACGGCACGCGTCAGAAGGTAGGGCTTCTCGAATCCGACGAGGATGACGAGGAACGGCAGCGCCTCAGAGAGGCAGATGGGGTCGACGGTGACGCCGAGCAGGTACGCGAACGTGAGCGCCAGCAGGAAGGCAAACGTCGACGAGATCAGGACCGACGTGCCTGAAGAGGGGACAACGGGCGGAATACAGAGCGAGGAGAGTCAGCACGGTCCGCGGAGGCGCTGGCGAGAAGCGGCCGCACTCACCCAGCCAAAACTTGCTGCCGAACTTGCGCATCGAGAGGAAGAGGTTGACGAAAGTGGCGTGCATCAGGACGTAGGCCGAGAGCATGACAAAGATGTCGGCCGAATCCGCGCGCTTGACGAGCGCCCAGAACCGGATGACGAGGGCGCGGACGGCGTAGGCCATCCACTTGATGCTCATCAACTCCTCGGACGACGTCCCGAGACGGCGGCCCTTGAGCTTGTTGGGGGCATAGGGGTCAAACTCGCCGTCGGGCACCAGAGCCACGGCGCGGATCGACGCGTGGGCCTCGTCGAGGCGCGCCTTGGTCGAGCCGGGCGTGGCAAACGCGGCAGGGCGGTTGACGGCCTGCAGCGTGTCCTCGAGCAGCTTCGAGAGGAGATCCGGGTCCGACGAGGCGCGGAGGAAGTCCTGGCGGGCCTCGTCGTTGTCGGCGGACGCAGGGTCGGCGAAGCTCTTTCCGACCAGGTAGGCCTGGAGGCCGCTCGCCTTGTCGCTGACGCGACGAGGGGCCAGCCCATCGCCGTGGCTGATGGCCCTTGCCAGGCGCTCGGCCATGGCGGGGAGGACGGACTTGGAGAGCACCGGGCTGTCGGTGTTGTCGATGGCGTCGGTGACCAGGACGGACTCGACGACAAAGGACTGGGCGCCGTTGACAAAGACCGAGGAGGCGTCGGAAGCGGCGGAGCTGGCGCCGCCCTTGCCCAGCTGCTCGCTGAGCGCCTGCTGCGAGAGGGGCTCCCACACGTTGCCGTCGCCGGCCTTGCGCATGTACACTGCGCTGAGGTCGTCGGACCCGGCGAAGGGCGCATCCCGAAGGTCGGCAGCGCCAGACTTGATCAGCCTGCTCCAGGGCGCCGAGAGCGAAGACTCTGCGGCGAGCGAGGCGGCCTCGCGGCTGATGGGCTCAAAAAAGTTGGAGTGGGTGACGGCGTGGAGCAGCTGGAAGTAGGCGAGCGTGACGACGATAAAGATGGTGACGACGACCTCGATGGGGTTCTTGGACGCCCTCACCGCGAGCCGCCGCAGCAGGACGCGGGGCAGCGAGAGGGTGGGCGGCACGGGTCCCATTGACGAGGTGCTCGACGTCGCCGAGTTGGGCGCCGACATGATGGCAACGGACGGGCAGGGCCGACGCGTGACTCGAGAATCGAAATGGCCCAGCAGCTGGATGAGGAGATGGCCAGTTGTTCAAGGTCCGAGCCGCTCGCGATTGCGAGGGTCGATGCGAGAGGAGCGAGAGGAGAGAGTTGCTGGCGAGTGTTGAAACCAGGCGAAGGATCGGGTCAGAGCCGCGTGGGTAGACTGAGGGCTTTGAGGCGAAGAAGAGTTGAATCCGGGAGCGGCTCAGCGGGAAAGGAGACTGTCTGCTACGAGGCGGGCTGCTGTCCGTGATGCGTTCCGGAGGTCGTAGGCGCAGGGAGGGGAACGCGGTGTGGCGAGCAAGACACTACTGTATCGAGCGCGCAAGCAGCAAGCCTTGATGATGGTTTGGTCGAGGAAGGCGCGGCCCTTGACGGAAAAGGAGCGAGAAGGAGTGGCGAAGGGCGACCGCTACAGAGCAACGTCGAGACCCGGTGAAGTGGGGGAAACGAGGCCGGATATGGACCGAGGCGCCGCGCGGAAGCAGAAACGAGCGGACTGGCGATAAACGGATGCAGGATGCGCCGCCGCAGCAGGAGCAGCAGCAGCAGCAGACGTGCGTGTGTCGGGAGGCAGGGCTCGTGTCACAGCAGAGGCCCTCTTTGTCTTCGTCTTGGGACTCCTTCTTCTTGCAAATCTTCCGAGAAAGATTGACGAGGGCAGCGAAGGCGGCAGCAGCGGACCGTTGTCAGATGCAGGTGCTGCCGATGACCTTTGTGGCGGCCGAAGAGGAGTGGTGGTGGTGGTGGTGGTGGTGGCTAGGGTAGGGCGGGTGGTGTCGACTGAGCGAGGGAAAGCAGATGACAGGGGCAGGGGGCCGGGGAGGAGGCCAGGCGCGAAGGAGAGGCAGGAGGAGGGGCCAGGGCCACCACCGGCAGAACGACGAGCGAGCGGGCGGCGTTGGGCCAACCACGAGGCGGGGAAGACTGGGCCAACCGCCAAAGGTGGCACCACCCTGGCCTTGCCTCGTCTCGCACACTAGACTGGCCTCTCTCTGAGCGGGCAGGCTGGCTGGCTGGCTTGCCTGCCTGCCCAACATCTGCTCGCGCTCTACCTAGCTACCTAGCTCTACACTCGCTCTCGCCCTCTCTGCCCTGCCTGCTCTGCTCTGCCTGCCGATCCCCCGCCCATCTGTCAGCGGCGTATCCGGGAGGCCTCTGCGCCGAGGCCTGCTGTGCTCCCCAGCCAAGGAAAGCGAGGCTAGGGCGGGTCTGCCCGCTCTACCTACAGAGCCTGCGCCTCGCCCTCTGGTTGGTGGCGTGGCCTGGCCTGGCCTGCCATGGCGAGTGAGTCGGGCTCGAGCCTCCAAAGATGTGTGCGGCGAACATCCCAACGCAGCCCAACCCAACCCGACCAACCAGCAGCAGCATCGACTCTCCAAGGCAGGCGAGGGGGGGCGGCATGGCCGCCGCGAAGAAATTCAAATCAGACGCAAGCGGAGCGAGGCCAGGCCGGCGTGCGTGCGTGCGTGCGGTGCCCGGTCTCGGCGCACCGCCAGGGCCGAACGAAATCAAGGCCAGGTCAGGGATCTGCCGGTCTGCCAGGCTAGGCTTTCTTGCTGACCGAGAAACCGAGAGCCTCCCTGCCAGCCCTGCTGGCCTGACCAGCGAGCAGGCGCCTGGACGCGGCAATTGAAATCTTGCCTGGCGCCGGTGGGTGCGCGCTCGACTGTCCGCCCGCCCGCCCGGTGCGTGCCTCCATGCCCCAACAGACGGCGTCAGCGGGGGGGAGGAACCGTCCTTCGCGAGCTGGCCAGGCCGGGCTCGACATCGACGACGTCGTCGTCAAATCGCCGTCTCGCCGGCGGTGCTCAACAGCGCGCCTGCTTCACGCTCCCCGAGGAGAGAGGCTAGGGCGTCGCAGCAAGAGGCAGGCCAGCAGGGAACGGACATCTCCTCCCTAGCCTGACCCCCTCGGCCTGTCTGCATTCTTTCGCTCTTTGCAGTCAGCCAGCACCAGGCCGCAGAGGAGCCGCGCTTCCTCTGTCGCCGGTAGGTGGTGCAGCGTACCGCATCGCCTGACAAGCAGGCAGGCAGGCAGGCAACATGCAAGAAGCGGCCACCGCACCACATCGCATCGCTCCAAGGAGACGAAGCAGGCGGGCAGGCCACCACTGGGGCAGGGCAAAACGGGGCGTTAAAATCGTGCGATTTTTCGTGTTCGTGGGCAGGCCGGCGTGCGTGCGCCTCGGCACTTTTCCGGTCGGGTCCGCGCGCCGAGGTCGTCCAGCCACCCGCCCGGCTGAGCCTAGACACCTGGCAGGCACCGGCTGGCAGGCAAGCTGGCCAGGCCCAACGCGCATGCCACCCGCCGGTCAGGCCATAGCTGCCGCCCTCGCTCACACGCACGCACACACGATGGGGATGGCAACGTCCACCAGCCACTGCTGCGATATCGAGCGGCATTTTCCTTTTTGGCCGCATCGAGAGAAGGCATCATCTCGAGGCGATAGACAGGCGGGAGAGACCGAGGGAGACAGAGAGAGAAAGAGAGAGAAGAGTGGTGTGTGCATGCGGGAAGCGTGACGGAGCAACGAGGCAGGCTGGGGTGGCGAGAGGAAGCGGGGATGTCGCAGGCGACGACGACGACGACGACGACGACGGCGGCGGCGACATACACCTACGTCGTTCACTTGCGCGTCTTGAGGCCCGCCTTGGCCTTGCCCTTGCCCCTCGACGGCGAGGGCGCGCCGGTGGCGCCACCCTGGATGTAGCGCACGATGTCGTCGAGGGAGCGGTTCGACGACGCGCCCTCGGCCACCTGGG